TTTTCTACCACCCCCGATTTTTTAAGGGATTTTGGGCAAAATTTTGAAGGAATACCAGGCAATCATTTGACAACACGTGATTATATTTTTGTGTTATGGGTATATTTCCCAGACCAAATATTTTGTAATGTTAGTCAGATTTTCTGACGGAAATAAAACAATTATTTCCGTAAATTATTCTGTTCCAACTTTTACTTCGGCGGTCTAGCACTTCACCTTATTTCCAAAGATCGCTGGTTCGATTCTCAGATGAATTTCTATGTTTTTGTGTAGATTATGTACTAGATGGTTTATGCCCATAGTGTAAACTCTGTTTAGTTTCAAATTAGATGGTGCTGTATCCTTCTGGTTTAATATTTCCATTTCATCATTTCAAAACCCTTATTTAAATAATACATCAAAGAGTTCAAAGTGATTTGGTTCTTCTAAATGTCAACTAATAACCCAGCAGGTGGTACAGTCAACCACACAGTATGCGTACAGTCGTATATATTTTCGTCGTATTCCGTATTGCTAAGGTCCATAACAGGTCCAATAAGTGTTTTAACATGGACTGTACGGTCTGTACCGACCCTCACCCTTGCAGTCGGACTGCGGCCGCGTGCACCCTCAGCCCCAATCCAAAACAATTCAACGGTATGCTTAACTATATTGATCTACTCACAATCACATACGTGCAATATTTGAGCAGTGCTTTTTTTTAATCTATACATATAAATAAAATTGGAGTGTCTGTTTGTAATATTGAAATAAACGTTAAAAAACGTTTATTTCAATACATGCATATGAATATAAATACGGTACATACACCAAAATAACATTTTTTACAATTTTTCTCTGTTTGTCTGTTTGGGCTAATCTGGAGATAGATTTGAGCTAGGCAACTATAGACCAATTTCTATTTTGCCAGTTCTAAGTAAAGTATTTGAAAAGATTATGTTTAACCAAATGTTAAAATACTTCAGGGATAACGGACTGCTTCACAGTCAGCAATATGGTTTCACTGCCGGCAAGTCTACTACTGATGCAGGTGTAGCGCTTATTACACATATATTCGAATCATGGGAAAACTCACAGGATGCTCTCGGCGTTTTTTGTGACTTGTCGAAGGCTTTTGATTGCGTAGATCATGAAACACTTTTGTACAAGCTCAAATATTATGGTATTAGAGATAATGACCTAAGTCTAATGAAAACTTATCTAGAGGATAGGGTACAAACTGTAGATATTGATGGTGTAAAGTCTAAGGGAACTAATATAAAAATGGGCGTTCCTCAAGGTTCAATATTAGGCCCATTTCTCTTTTTAATTTATATAAATGACCTTCCCTACATGGTAGAGAAAGTTGCAGATATAGTGTTATTTGCGGATGATACTTCGTTAGTGTTTAAAATTGGTCGCCAATGTAATCAATTAGACGATGTAAATTATGCTATCTCTGCTATACTAAATTGGTTCACATGTAATAATCTATTATTGAACTCCAACAAAACTAAGTGCATTAAATTCACGCTGCCTAATGTAAAACAAGTAAATACGCAGCTATTGCTTAATGATGAAATAGTAAATTTTGTTAATGATACAGTTTTTTTAGGAATAACAGTGGACTCGAAGTTACAATGGGGGCCCCATATTTCAAAATTAGCCAGTAGACTTAGTTCTGCTGCTTATGCAATTAGAAGGATAAGGCAATTAACAGACGTGGCGACGGCAAAACTTGTGTATTTTAGTTATTTCCATAGCATTATGTCATATGGCATACTGCTATGGGGTAAAGCTGCCGATATAAATACTATATTTATTTTACAAAAGAGAGCCATACGTTCTATTTATGGTATGGGTTCTAGAGAGTCATTACGTCAATGCTTTAAACAATCAAATATCCTCACCGTTGCCTCACAGTACATTTATGAAAATATTATGTATACAAGGAAAAACTTAGATAGTTTCAAGAAACTTAAAGACTGTACAAGTAGAAACTTACGCAATAAAAATAAGCTAATTTTACCTAAATGCCGTCTACACAAAGTTAGTAATTCATTTTATGGTAATTGCGTAAGATTCTATAATAAACTGCCAGAGTCTACGCTAAATCTTACAGAGAGGCAATTCAAATCTTATATTAAACAAATGTTATGTAAAAAAGCCTATTATAAGATAGATGAATTTATAGATGATAGCAATATATAGCAAGAATAAGTTTATTTGCGGACAACGTTATAATTTTAATTTTCATACTGCTTTCTTGATATATGATAGCGTAGCGGCTTTTGTATTGATTGCCGCATGCATCCTTATGTAAAGTGCGAATACTGTAACTACCATATAGTAATTTTTGTAGCTGTGACGTGGTCGTGTGGAATGAGTAGTCATGCTCACTAAAATGTCCAGACATGTGGCGGCGTGGTGGGCCGGGTCAATGGGCTCCCTAAAATATGGTCGAGCGCAGTGATGGCTGGCTCATCCGTCATACTCGTGAACGAGGGCTGCTTGTGGGGACTGGTCTGCTCTTATCACTACGACTGATTTAATCTTATTGCATGATTATATTTGACCCAAAAAATTAGTGCTTGTTGGTAGTTTGTATTCACACGTTTCGACTTGTAAATGTAAACTTACAAGGATTATTTAAAAGAGCAACACACAAGTTTCTTGCTCGTTCTTCTTGTGATGAGACAGCTTTCCGAACGAGTGGTAGATAAAAAACAAATTGTTATGACTATTCAAAAGTGCTTAAATTAAGTTTATTTGAATAAATGATTTTCTATTCTATTCTATAATGGCTGGTCCGATTTTGATGGGACTTTTTACTGTCTCATATATACTATCTTACTATTTACAATTTTTGTCTGTCTGTCTGTCTATTTGTTCCGGCTATCTCTGAAATGGAGGGACCGATTTTGACGGAACTTTTTTGGCAGGTAGCTGATGTAATAAGGTGTAACTTAGGCTACTTCCATTTTAGAAAGATAAAGTTAAATTCCACGCGGACGATGTCGCGTGTACAGCTAAAATGTAGTAATTTTTTCTTACTCTCAGCTGATAAAGAGAATGCATAAGAAAAGTATTTCAAAACGAGGTAGGGCGCGAAAACTGCGAATAAATAAACTCGCTTTCACATTTGTAATGTTAGGACAAACAGACAGACTGCCATAAATAATGGAGTTCAATTAATTAATTACATGCTTGAACCGATTTGATGTGTCATTAGTCATACTGCTCGGACATATAGATAGAATGTTATGCGGTCTGTAATAATATCATTAATCACTTTGATAATATTAGAGGGAGGTGGTTAGTAACAGGAAGTATTGGCACTGTTGCCAGCAATGTACCATGTCAGGTTACCTTCCACGGTACCTAGGAAACCAAAATGGTGGATCAATCACAATGCGCAATTTTAACTTCACTACCTAATTATTTTTTTTTAGCAAAGAAATCATTTATTTGAATAAACTTACATTGAAGCACTTTTGAATAGACATAACATTTTTTTTTAATCTACCGCTCATTCGGAATGCTGTCTCATCACAAGAACGAGCAAGAAACTTGCGTGTTGCTCTTTTAAATAATTTATTCTTACTTACAATTTAAGTTTAAGTGTGTGAATACAAACTACCGATTAGCAATAATTCAATGAAATAATAAAATAGAAACAACATTCAAAATTAATGAATTTAAGCTGTGCCCGCGGTTTCAGCCGCATGAATTTATACTCTACATGTTATTCTAATGTATAAGCTATATTACTGTAAAGTTTCATCAAAATCCGTTCAGTAGTTTTTGCGTGAAAAAGTAACAAACATCCATACTCACAAACTTTCGCGTTTATAATATTAATAAGATTGTTTAATTCCGCTACAATTAGCATGTGTTTTTTTAAATATCACTAGCTATATCCACGACTTCGTCCGCGTGAAATTTAACTTTATTTTTCTAAAAAAATAGTATAAAATAGCCTGTGTTACTCCTTATTACATCAGCTACCTGCCAAAAAAAGTCCCGTCAAAATCGGTCCAGCCATTTCGGAGATTAGCCGGAACAAACAGACAGATAGATATTGTAAAAAATATTATTTTGGTGTATGTACTGTATTTATATTAATATAACAAGAAACGGTTATTTCAATATTACAGATACTCCAATTTCATTTATATGTATAGAATAGTATAGATGTATAGATTATATAAAATCAAAACTTAAAAAAAATGTGTGTGTGATGTTAGATGATTTGGTCACGTTTGTGGTACCTCGGTACCTCAGTACCATTGTCAGTTTTTAATGGATAAGAAACACACACGTCCATAGAGAGGGACGGATACTCTTTGGATCTTCCAAAGAGTATCCGTATCCACACGTAAAACAAGGACTCCCTCGGTACCTATTACTACCACTTTCGCGTTTCGCTTTGTATACCTATATCAATTTAGTCTCTGTATATTAGCTGTCTCTGGTCAAAATCTAGTTATTAAATTCATGACTAAATTAATAAATTATTCATTGCAATTGAATTTTTTTTATATATAATATGTGTAATGTATTTTTTTTTTATTTCCGTTTTATATTAACCGTAGCAGCGCACATGTCAACAAACTGCTATAAATATAACTACGTCATTAATTAAAAATAGAATCAGAATATTTTCGAATAATCACGTAATTTTCCTAGGGAAATTTAAGTATCACTATTGCCGTGTTTTAATTAAACTATATTATTTTTATTATGATAAAAAATATAAATTCTGAACGTAGTGATTATTTACTTAGTGTAATACATAGCGCCAGAACTACCTACTTACCAAAAAAATATTTTATTAGGTTCAAAGACCTTTTTTTTATATTTCTAACTATCTAGATAATTTACAAAACAAATTATTTTAGTATTCCATTTAATTGCATAATCTTTGCTGTTACTACCTATCGATGACTTTTATTTTGTACAAAATTATTACTTTTAAAAACTATTATTACAGACTAAATAATATAAAAATGTCTACTCACCCAAAAGAATACGTTCTAATTTCGAACACTACAAATTCATTCCAAAACTAAATTTAAAAACACAACACAAAACACCAATCACTGAATTTAAATTTGGAATTTCAAACTGTCAAACCGAACGCGCGCATTTTGAACATCGGAACAAGTTCAGAAACGGGAATATTCGAGAAACACACGCGTACTCCCTGCGAACCACGCGCGGACTACGCTCCGACGGGAAGAGTCGGGAGTCGGGAATCGAGATTCAAGAGTCCGGAATTGCTCGGGATGCATAACAAACGCTGAATACCATTCTCTAAAGCAAAAATTTGCATTATTACAATGATTGTTGACTCAAATCGTAGCAGAATTTGTGGAGATATGGTTTATTTTTGCAAACTAGATACTGAACTGGACGGTAGGGAAAAAATTATAGTATAATATAAAAAATTTACGTTCAGAAGCGACTAAAATGTACTACATGAATAAATGATTTTTAAATTTGATGAATTTCAATTTAAACTGTTCTAATGTTGTTGGACGCAGCTCTGTTATAATTAATATATTGTCACGACTGTAATGCGGATGAGGTAGACAGAAGTACCGTGGACTGTCAACTGTGGTAAACATCGTGAACCTAATGTAGCAAGGGGACGAGGTTTAGACTCATTTCCGGACTACTCTAATGCTGTAGGCCGCAGCTGGCCTTTACAGCTTCACCGAACCATAAAGGGCGAGTGCAGATGGCACTCCAAACCCGCGGAAGGTCTTATGGAGCGGCTGAAGGCCAACTCCTGCTTGATAGATGTGATTTTAGTCTGAGGGCATTGCTACGGGTTCGAACCAGCTCAGGCCGTCGTAACTTCAATCTCCGTTTGAATTGCTTATAATCTATATGAAGTTTATTTGAATAAAGAATAATTCTTCTATTTCTATTGCCTTTACCGTGACTTTGTCTGCTTTGATATAATCACAGATAATACATATTAATATACAAAATATAGTCTATCGTTTTGTAAAATTACATAAAATCCGTTAGTCGTGAAAGGTAGACGAATACACTTTCCCGTTTTATACCACAGGAACGGCAATCAAGCATACGTTCTGCCTTATTCGTAGCGACCACCAAATATGTACTTAGTACAGACTGGATATGAATTTCTGAAACAAGCAGAAGCATAACCATTGGCAGGAGTCGCTTAACTTATTATGTACTTAGTATAATAATTATTGTCACATCTCATTCTTAAAACCGCATGTTTTATATCTATTTTATTATTATCACAACTACGCCTATAGTATACTGCTCCGTGATACCATAAGGCAAATTGCATTGAGGTAGGTCAAATGACAAAAACCGCTATCTGTAAAATTTACGGAACAGCGCCATCTCTGAACTAGATGTAACACTAAAACATTCTACATAGCACGTACGTCTACTTTTGAACATGTCGGAAAGATGGCGCTGATTGCCTCAGACTAAACGAAAACCATTCTATAATGTTAAATGTTATAATAAATGAAATGAAATTGTATTTACTTGATAGACGCTTATACACATGACATTCAGAATTAGAGTAATTTTACTATAAAATGAACACAAACATAAAAGTTATTTTTTTTCAACATAATTTATGAGTAATATTATTTGTTCCTTGCGGTGATGAAGAGAACTGCTAGCTTTTCCTTTCACTGCAAATTTTTTTACCATAATACTACTAAAATATCATAATCTAAAGATGACTGGACGAAATTATGGATACCCACATATATAATAAATAAAAAAGAAAATTGGATAATGGGACAATGGTATTTTGTTAGAATAGACAAAGTGATTTTTGAACATGACTCTATAGAGATATGCATATCTCTATGCTACCTTCAAAACAAACCAGGCAAAAATAAGTTTGTATACTCCAATTTTCGTCTCACCTTTTTTTTTACTTTGAGAAAATCCCTCATGGAGTCCCACACGGCCCCGGAGGTAAATACTGTAAGACTCCTACAGAAAAAACTTCAAGGTATACCGACGAAGTATCTATTGCCGGAGTCGCAAGATCGCAGCTGTCAGTCCACCGCGACTCAGGCAACGTTGGGCCGCTTTGGTGTTTTTTTTCGACTACTCTAATGCTGTTGGCTGCAGCTGGCCTTTACAGCTTCACCGGACGATACGGGGCGAGTGCAGATAGCTCTAAACCAAAGGAAGGACTTATGGAGCGGCTGAAGGCCAACTCCCACTTGACGGATACGTCTTTAGTCTGAGGGCACCGGACTAGTCTAGGGGTTCGGACATTGGCTGAGGTCGTCGTAATTTCGATCTCCGTTTGAATTCGACGGGGGATCTATCGAAGGGGACCGCTTTTGTCCTTTTATTTGGGGGGTTAACCCCCACTCTCTCTCTCTCTTCACTCCTCTTTACTCTCTCGCGCGCCACCATCAACTTCCATCTCTCCTATTTCAACCCTTATGCACCTTACTTTCTAAGCTGATATTGAAGGTAGGATTAAGGCAATCTGATATTGAAGGTAGGATTAAGGCAATGAAATTGCAGTGTAAGGAGCGTGACCTTAGACTTGCGAAGTGATGTCCGTAGTTTTTCTTAACCACCTATATAGGTTAAGGTTAAAACTTATCATCAGGCAAGCAGTCAGCTTGTTTCCCATTATAATTACATAAAAAAGTAATCTATACATCTATACATATAAATAAAATTGGAGTGTCTGTTTGTAATATTGAAATAACAGTTTTTTTACTACATGCATATGAATACAAATACGGTACATACACCAATATAACATTTTTTATCATTTTTGTCTGTCTGTTTGTTGGGACTAATCTCTGAAATGGCTCGACCGACTTTGACGGGACTTTATCATTTTTGTCTGTCTGTTTATTCCGGCTAATCTCTGAAATGACTGGACCGATTTTGACGGGACTTTTATTGGCAGGTAGCTGATGTAATAAGGAGTAACTTAGGCTACTTTTATTTTAGAATAGTAGAATCAAAAAACTTGACTATTCAAACGTGCTTATATTAAGTTGATTTGAATAAAGATTATTTCTATTTCTATTTCTATTCCTATTTAGAAAAATAAACTTAAATTCCACGCGGACGAAGTCGCGAGAACAGGTAGTAATTACATAAAAAAGCAAATAATATATATAATTAATGATAATTTAAATGACTCACCCAGCTTATCAGAGTCACATTCTCTGTAGTGTAACTAAGAGTTAGTGTATCTAACATAAATTGAATACATTTAGGTACAGAGTTATCAACGTTTGTGTTTAAACCACTACATACTATAATACAAAATTGCTGTCGCTGTCTGTCCGTCCCTATGTATGCTTAAATCTTTAAAACTACGCAACGGATTTTTTAAATAGATAGATTGAATCTAGAAGAAGGTTTATATATAATACACTAGCTGTTCTCGCGACTTTTCGTGGAATTTAACTTTATTTTTCTAAAATAAAAGTAGCCTAAGTTACTCCTTAGTACATCAGCTACCTGCCAAAAAAGTCACATCAAGATCGGACCAGCCATTTCAGAGATTAGCCCGAACAAACAGACCGACAGACAGTCAGACAAAAATTGTAAAAAATGGTATTTTAGTGTATATACCATATTTATATTCATATGCATGTAGTAAAACGCGGTTATTTCAATATTACAAACAGACACTCCAATTTTATTTATATGTATGTGGCACCGATGTCAGAGAGGTTAAAGAGTAATCGTCTATCGTGGTATGGGCATGTAATGCGTAGGAATGAAGATCATATCCTAATGACGGTGTTACATATGAATGTGGATGGTTATAGGGGTAGAGGAAGACCGAAAAAAAGATGGATGGACTGTGTGAAAGATGATATGGTGAGAAAGGGAGTAAATAACGGAATGACTGCGAACAGAGATGAATGGAAGAGAAAAACATATTACGCCGACCCCAAATAAATGGGATAAGGAAGAAGCAGATGATGTATAGATGTACACCCGGGCGAAGCCGGGGCGAGTAGCTAGTAAACTATAAACGTTAATCTGCTTTATTGATTACGTACTATGTAGTTTATGAGGAATTTCCTCCTGCGCTCACATTCCATAACCTTCTGACAAAGAGGAAGGGAATTGTTAGTTATAAGGCCTATTAACCTCATTGCTAGAAATATAACAGATTGACTCCACGCGGTTCCCCCTGGAAGACATCATGATAATGCCTGGTGAATTTGTCACGATGTGCTAACTGACCTGACCTCGTGCTCATCTTGTCATCCTCCACTGGTGCCCCGCCAGAGTAAACCGTTAACGCAGGCGGGTACAGCACTCCATTATCATCAATAAAAAAAAACGTTATGGAATATACTCATAGTCTTTTAAAATGGTGTCCGTTTACAATCAGTTATCAATCTTGTTATATTTGACAACAGATTGCCGCGAAAATGAGTAAACATTCATAAAATAATGACAAATTTCAAATTCAAATGTAATAGTTTGTTTATTTTTAATTATAACAATATTTATGGCCAGCATTTGTTAATAATAATAATAATCTCAGTACAATTCACACAGCGCCATCTAGACCCAAGTTAAGACAGCTAAAGCTTGTGTTATGGATACTAGACAACTGATACAAATACATAGATATCTTTTTTTTTCTTAAATACATATATATATTATATATAGAAAACACCCAGACCGATACAAACAATCATACTCATGAATACAAATGTCTGTGCCGTGCGAAGAATCGAACCCGCGACCATCGGACGTAAAACCGTGTGCCAGACCGCTAGACCATCGAGGTCGTCAGATTTGTCGTTGTTGGTTTGTAGATTTTATTTAAAATTTTCAAATAATTTTGCACTCGAATAATTATTATGGCTAGAATTAATTATAGTTTAACTGCGGCATTGGATACAGTAAATATATATTTAGAAATAAGCAATATCTTATATATAAAATTCTCGTGTCACAGTTTTCGTTCCCATATTCCTTCGAAACGGCTTGACCGATTCTCATGAAATTTTGTGAGCGTATTGAGTAGGTCTGAGAATCGGCCAACATCTATTTTTCATCCCCCTAAATGTTAGGGGTAGTCCATCACCAATTTGTTTTATTTTAAGGCAAAACAACATTTGCCGGGACAGCTAGTTATATATAAATTACTCCATCATGCGCCATCCACCACCTTCTCTTTTTTCTCCTCTACCCAAAGGTTGTCTGGAAGAGATTGCGCTAAGACCGCCTTTTGTACCCATAATCTAAATATTGTTTTCGTTTGTATATATTTATTTTATATAACTTCAATGCACAAAATACCAAGGTAAAAGTACATATGGCGGACTTAACGCCTTAAGGCATTTTCTACCAGTCAACCATAGGCTGTGCAGAGAAAAACTGTAGACGGTGCGAATTGAAACAATAGGTCAAACAAAAAATTATACATATACTAAAAGTAAATACATGTAAACACATGCATATACATACACAAATACATATATATATATATATACGTTTTTTTATTATTATGGTGCAATAAAGAATAATAAATAAATAAAAAAAAAACAAACAATACATTACAATGCATTACTAGATCTGCCAACTGTACGCACGCACGCACCAATGCATTAGAAGCATTAAGTTCAGTTCTATTTTCGAACGAGTTGTGGACCGATATGCGCATGACCGGCCTATCTGATTCCGCCTCTAGTCTACAGTTCAGTCCACACGCCGCAGCCAAGAGCGCGGTCGCGCGCCGCCCGCGACCCGTTGATAAATAAAAAAAAAAACGCGCACCGCGAGTGCGTTCTCTCGTTCCGTTCCATATTCAAATTGTAACTAAAGTGTGAGTGGTGCCATCTGTTATTCAAATCCGAAATGAGGCGAAACGTAAAGGTTTTATTCCTCGTTGGGGCGGTGTGGATTTTCTTCCTGTTTTACTACATGCAGCCTGATTCGACGCAATCGAAGGTAAGTGTTGGAACGGTGCCAGGTTTGGTGCTTTGTTGTTGTAAGCTGATCAGCTGATAGGTTACGGACCTCTGCAGTTAGCCGGCGTGCATTGCGCATGATCCGCCCACGCGATGCGACTGCATTGAGAACTCACGATTTTGTTATCGAATGGGATTTTTTTTTTTAATTTAAAATAAAACACTTTGTTTAGGAGTCGCGAGTGAAAGTTTTAATTTCTCTTGTTTTGAAGACAATTTCGTTTCACCTTGACCCGGAACGCGACCGACTCCAACGAGATACAGTTAATTGCAAAATAATGACCTAAGAACAATGTAATAATTCATAAATGGTTTTTTTTATTCTCATTGTCTGTTTTATACGTATTTGCAAATATGTTTCGGTACGTTTATCATCGGGCTGGCCCTATGGTTAATTGGAATCCGTCAAAAAAAAAAAAAAATTCAAAAATTCGTCGTTTTGTGATGTTTAGTTTTCATTAGAGATTAATTCAAACTTGCTTCCATCCTATATGTTTATAATAGGATGACTGTATGTTTTAATTTATATCTGTTATATTATATATGTATATGTTAGTTTAGTTTATACTAGTTGCCCCACGCAACTTCGTCTGCATCACCCTTACTTGACTTTCATCTTTATATTTAGCCCATTTACATAATATCTTTTAAAATAATATCCGATATGTTATTCTGATGTATAACCTATATTACTGTAAAGTTACATCAAAATACGTTCAATAGTTTTGCGTGAAAGAGTAACAAACATCCATCCATAATCACAAACTTTCGTGTTTATAATATTACTAGCTTTTGCCCGCGATTTCGCTCGAGTTAATTTATCCCCTTAGCGATGGAATTTATCAAAATCCTTTCTTAGGTGATGTCGTCATAGTAGCTTTATGCATGCAAAGTCTCAGCCCGATCGGTTTAAAGTTGACAAAGTTTCATACAAACTTTCATCCCCTATTTTATCCCCTTGGGAGTTGAATTAATCAAAATCCTTTCTTAGCAGATGCCTAAGTCATAACATCTACTTGCATGCCAAATTTCAGCCCGATCCATCCAGTGGTTTGGTCTGTGCGTTGATAGATCACTGTGTCAGTCAGTCAGTCACCTTTGAGTCAATTATATATTTATATTCATCATCGCAGCTCGGAACACGTCCACTGCTGGACATAGGCCTCCCCCAAAGATCTCCACGACGATCGGTCCTGCGCTGCTCGCATCCATTTATTTATTAAAGTTGAATAATTATATTTCATACATAAATTAAGAAATTGTATGATAAAAACTTACCTACTTACCTTGAGCGAAACAAAACCAGTCTTAAATCCTTAAGTTCATAGTCTATTTATATATTTATATACATATATATTATTATTATATACTTATATAGTATAATAACTTAAGAAAGATTTTACATATGAATGTGGATGGTTATAAGGGCAGAGGAAGACCGAAAAAGAGATGGATGGACTGTGTGACAGATGATATGGTGAGAAAGGGAGTAAATAACGAGATGACTGCGAACAGGGATGAATGGAGAGAAATACATATTACGACGACCACAAATAAATGGGATAAGGAAGAAGCAGATGGTGACCTGTACACTATTTATATTGTAATGTATAGTTATATTGTACTAGCTACTTGCCCCGGCTTCGCACGGGTGTACATGTATTATATATATACACCTTCCTCTTGAATCACTCTATCTATTAAAAAAACCGTTTCAAAATCCGTTGCGTAGTTTTGAAGATTTAACATTGGGACAGACAGCGACAGCGACTTTGTTTTATACTATGTAGTAATGTATAAATTGTATATAGTAACATTACAATTTTTTTTACTATTTACGAGATTATTAACGGAAATATATATTTTTGAATACTAGTTGTATCGTGTGACGCCATTCGTTTGGTATTCGGCCTGCTATAACGACCATATTACGTAATTATAATATTTAACACTAGCTCGCCCGAGCAACTTCTACTGATCACACTTACTTGATATTCATCATTATATTTCAGCCAATTTAGATAATATCTTTTTAAATTGTAGGCTATATGTTATTCTGATGTATAAGCTATATTACTGTAAAGTTTCATTAAAATCCGTTCAGTAGTTTTTGCGTGAAAGACTAACAAACATCCATCCATACTCACAAACTTTCGCGTTTATAATATTAATCAGATAAGATCGTACATCACGCATCCATCCTAGTTATTTTAATATAATATATCTAAAAACACATACTTTCAAATAAAAAAACCTATTATATATATAAAATAAAGTACAGTATAAAATAAAGTTACTGTCGCTGTCTGTCCCTATGCTTAAATCTATAAAACTACGCAATGGATTTTGAAGCGTTTTTTTATAGATAGAGTGATAAAAGAGGAAGGTTTATAAATATACTAGCTTTTGCACGCGGCTTCGCTCGGGTTATTTTATCCCCTTAGGGGTGGAATATATCAATGTCCTTTCTTAGAGGATGCCTACGTAAAAGTAGCTTTATGCATGCAAAGTCTCAGCCCGATCGGTTTAAAATTGACAAAGTTTCATACAAACTTTCATCCCCTATTTTATCCCCTTAGGGGTAGAATTAATCAAAATCCTTTCTTAGCGGATGCCTACGTCATAACATCTACCTGCATACCAGATTTCAACCCGATACGTCCAGTGGTTTGGGCTGTGCGTTGATAGATCACTATGTTCAGTCACCTTTGAGTTACATATATTTTAATGTACACCCGTGCAAAGCCGGGGCGAGTAGCTAAAGAGAGTCATGTAGAGTTAAATAAAGAGAACAACAGCTCAAGCTGCCAGAGGCAGTTGTTATAAGTGTATATTCACAATACTTTCAAAATGCCATTAGACAGACAGTGGTCTAGAGACGTGAGAATTGTTCACGTAATACTATATAATTGTAATACAAGACTGCACAACAACCTTACATCGCCTACTTTCTGTTATATTAATTTAAAACCACCAAAAAAAATTTCACGAGTATGTAAAAAAAAATTTGTACTGGCTTTTACCCGCGGCTTCGCTCGCATAACTTCATAGTGATAGATGGCGCTGAATTAGCAAAATTTTGTTATTTTTTGTTTTCTATAAAAAAAAATGTTTTTTTTTAAATAAAAAAACTGTCCAATGTTAATTCTAATACCTGCAGGAACATGTATACAAAATTTCATGAAGATCGGTTCAGTAGTTTTTGCGTGAATGCGTAATAAACATCCGTACTTTCACATTTAGAATATTATATAAGTATATAGATTACCATGGTGGCAAACAAGCATACGGCCCGTCTGATGGTAAACTGTTACTGTAGCCTATCACATTTAAAACACCACAGTTGCCACGTGCTCGTATCCGACCCTTATTGAGAAACCCCATGCTGTAGTCTCTTGAGAAAACCTCGGCAGATAGTTCATTCTATAATCTAAGTGTACGCGGGAGGAAGCTCTTCTGAAACCGCACTGTCCAAGACCTGGGTTCTAGAGTGTGGGGATGAACCCTGTGGGTTACTAACTGTGTAAAGATATCACTGAGCAGCGTACTTAAATTGGAAATCAGAGTTGAGAGCATGCTCAAGGATGATATAAAAATAATAATCTCAGGACAATTCACGCAGCGCCATTTAGACCCAAGTTAAGCTAGCTAAAGCTTGTGTTATGGGCACTAGATAACTGATACAAATACATAGATTTTTTTTTGTAAATACATATATATTATACATAGAAAACATTCAGACCGATACAAACAATCATACTCATGAATACAAAAGTTTGTGCATGTGAGGAATCGAACCCGCGACTATTGGACATAAAGCGGTGTGCTAGACCGCTATACCACCGAGGTCGTCGTAATCTCAGCGATTTGAATTTCATATAGTAAATCACATTCTGCAATCAGTGTTGCAAAGACGAAATTGCACTAAATGCATGAATTGAGTAAAAATGTATTACAAAATAATTAACAGTGAGAAGCGATATTGAGCCATATGTTTCTTATAATAAAAATCAATATTTGTTTGCAAGTTTTGTTAAGTGCAATACTGTTTATCAGATTGAAAAAAAATTCTATAATATTCCAAAAAACAATATGTTTATCAGATTGACGCAAAATTAAAAATGGTAAAGTCAATAATATTAACCTGAAAAACGTCAGAGGCCAGAGCCAATATAACAGATATACATGACGGACGATTGAACGGAGGCACGGAGCGAAAAAGTTGGAGTGTTTATATTATTATAAAAACAAATAAGAGATTTTGTGAATATTGTAGGCATTGGTTGTTTCTCTCCCTACTAACCGTGTTACGCCTAAATAGTCATACTAGTATTTTAAAAATATAACAAATATACATAAGTACGGCCGTCGGTTTTGTCCTTGTGCTGGTTGGCCCTAGTGTTATAAATAGTATAGTAAAAAATCTAAGTTACTTATTACGTTAGCTACTTGCCAAAAAGAGTCCCGTCAAAATCGGTCCAGTCATTTCAGAGATTAGCCGGAATAAACAGACAGACAAAAATTGTAAAAAATGTTATTTTGGTGTATGTACCGTATTTTTATTCATATGCATGTAGTAAAAAACGGTTTATCAATATTACAAACAGACACAACAATTTTATTTATATGTATAGATGATATTATATAAAAGTTTTGAATATAAATAGTTGCAATTAATCACACGTAGTTAATTAGTGATCAGATAATGTTTACATCGTTGCTAACTGGTTTCCACTCGGTTTCGTTCATTGGTTTTGTCAACATTTGAATTAGTTGTTTGCTGTTTGGTGTATGACAAACAACTGCCCATATGTGTTTATATATATACATATACGAGTATAGGTGTATATGTTTACATATATATGTATACAATACCAGAGACATCATACAGATTTTGTTTTTCATTTATTTTTTTATGTGAATATACATTTAGTAAAAAGCTGTTAATTTTAAATTACAAATAGACACTACAATTTTATT